TATGGCTTACATTGATGGAATGCTTCACTTATGGTATTTTGTGCTAATAATGATTTTAGACTATCATGTTTGACGTCATTTGTATCGAAAGAAATGCCATGATAGTATTTGGGACTCTAGGACATATGTTGCTTGAGTAGTGAAGATTATGTGCGCTTGTTAAGTGTTTTACTTGATCATTATGTATGTGATACATTGTGGAATTTGGTTGATGATTTTTGGGAGACACTTGGGACCTTTTGTTACTTTGAGAGGCATTAGCGGGCGAAACTCGGATTTCCTCAACTTTATAATGCCATTAGGTTTGTTCCCTGTGGTTTAGTAAACCGAGAATAACTATTTTACCGGTTCATGCAGTAGGTATGACCGGGGGTGTGGGTGTGTCCAAGTTATCCCTATTATATGATTTCGGATCTTATTTTCCAAGTTAACATTCATGTGTAGTTGTAAGTAACTTGGTGCATTTCGGTTTCATTGTATTTTCTTGTATTAGTATATACTTGAATGGAATTGTCGTATAATTCAATTGCTAGTTCTAAGGTGATCCTTTAGAATTACCTTTGAATTAGAAGTTAGGAGGAATATCCCATATTTGTATAACATATGCTTCATTTACGAGACCAAGGAAACCTAGTTTATTTTCATAATGCATTTCCTACTGAATAATTTAAATTACTCACATATGTTGATTTCATCTTTTTCAGGTAAGGGCATTGCCCAAGAGGAGACCTCTCACCCCTAGCTCGGTTTGGGATTTTAATTATTTGTATGCCATGTGTAGCAATGGACATCATCTCGAAAGTTATACAAGGCCAAAGCCAAAGAGAGGGTTCTATGGACCCAAAGAACCCAAAAAATCCACAATTTCATCAAGAGATATACAATTTCCTCCAATCACCCAACTAAAAGGAGAACTAATAATAGAAAATTTTAGCGCCCTAATGGAGGATTCCTCCCCATCAAAAGATCTTCTATTCCGCCCTTTCCAAATGCACCACCAAACACAAAAGAGGTCGCCCTCCAAAAATCATGGGTGTGGGCTTGGGGTCCGATCTTTCTACCAGAGCCTTTTGGGATTGCGGGCCCCGCATTTCCTTGGAAGGCCATTTGGAGATCAAAGGCCCCTTAGAAGGTGGCTTTCTTTTCTTCGTCAGCCACTCGTGGGACAATTCTCCCTAGACAATCTTAGAAGGAGGTGGCAGGTTGTAGTGAATTGGTGTGCATGTGCAATAAGGCGGAAGAGTCGGTGAATCACCTTCTTCTTCATCATCCAGCGGTGAGGGAGGTTTGGATATGTTTTTTACTATGTTTGGTATGCATTGGGTGTCTCCCAGTTCCACAGTGGACACAATCGAGGCTTGGAGAGGGTATATAGGGGATAACATGCTAGAATTGCCTGGAGGGTCACTCCTCTTCATTTATGGTTGAGCTTGTGGCGTGAGAGAAATAAGAGATCCTTTGATGGAGAGGAGAATCCTATTTGGTCTCTCAAATACATCATACTAAGTTCTTATTCTATTGGGCAAATGAGCAGAACTGTAAATTTGTGGCGGATTTTGTGCATAGTTTGAAGTTATAGTTGGCCGTTGATGGTTTTTTGTGCATTCTCTTGGGAGTGTTTCCCTTTTGGGTGCCTTTTAATGAAATCTTACTTATGTTAATAAAATAATAATAACACTAATGTAGTAGAACATTCTTGATATACCTAAGTGAGAAGTGAATGCCCGAGGACTAGCGTGTTGGCTACATCATATCATTGAGGGTGATAGGCTTATAGTGACTGTATTTATGATTGAATGAGTAACCATGATGGAAACCAGACCTATATGAATGAAAATCCCATGATCTAAATTCAATAAAAAAACTTGTTGTGAGTGGTTTGTGTGGAGCACTTAATAGATTTCTTTACAACGTATCCATACGATTTCTAAGTGCCACCCATTTTATGAGAAGGTTAAGTTTTGCTTTTAATAAGTTTATAGCTTGGTTATCAAGTATAATGTAGCATTACATTCTTGATAGACTGTAGGTGGAGCCTGTAATGGCCCAAATCCCATGATCCGGTGCATTAACCAAGTAAATCTAAACCCAACCCGAGAACCCAGGCAACAAATGCGGAAGTTAAGGTTAAAACAGTCATTATACAGAAGTTAAGGGTAAAATGGTCATTTCATGACAAATATGGTGGATGGGGAGTGCACCATCGGAAAGCTAGCTCAAAATCCTACGATTTGGGCTCAATGACCCAATTTGGATTTATAACGAAAGAGATTCATTTGAATAAAGGGGAAAAATATGCAAGTGCTGTGATGAATGCTCGAGCATTGAGAAAAATGCTCGAGCATTAAAGAAAAATGCTCGAGCTCAAGAAATAATGCTTGAGCACAGAGACAAATGCTCGAGCTCAAAACTCAATGCTCGAGCATTAATGGGGCTATGTTAAATAAATTTCTCAGAAATGGAATGCTCGATCTCTTAAGCCAATGCTTGAGCTTCAGAAGAAAAATGCTCGAGCACGGAAGAAAACGCTCGAGCATTAAGAAAAATGCTCAAGGTTTGAACTCCAGAAAATGCAAAACAGACTTGAAACAATGCATAAACTCATAGGCACTTGCTTGGTACCTAACAATACTATGAACTAAGTGTAAAATCCACTCCCAACCCTCATGAAACATAAACCATAGCATTGACATCGTGAATCAAAGTATTCGTGTGAAAATACTCATACAAGTGTGCAATTTACGGATAAAAACATGTATTGAAATGAAAGTGGCTCATTGGCCTCATTACATCATTCGTCATAGTATCAAATGTAAGCAAGGTAGAGTAGAAATGACTCGGGAACTCCAAAAGATGCAAGTGAGTTCCTAACCCATTTATCTTTTCAAAAGAATACTTTTGAATGTTTTGTAATACAATTTTTCTTGTCAAAAAAAAAAAAAAAAATACCAAACTCCAAAGACCCCACTCTAAGAGACCATCCATACCATCCCCCTCTACCACCAGACTGCATATCAATGCTAAGAACTCTGCTACCTCTGCAAGCTCCCAATCATGGAAATTTCTTTAAAACTGCATGTCCGAAGTCATCCTCCCGTTATAAAGCCGATAACAATCAGCAACTAAGGCATATCTGTCCATAGCAATCCTGAATAGCTAAGGAAAACTGCTAGCCATAGGAAAAAGGGAAAGCTAGTTTGAATTTTGGGTTGGGCTGGTTTGATGTATTCGGTCAGACCTCTAATGGCTTGGGGTTATAGCTAGGCTGCTTTGGGCTTAATGTCCTGTTGGGCCAATGGTCTTGTTTATTCTTACTTCTTTATTAAATTGCTCTACCTGTCAAAAAAAAAAAGGGACATATGAAAGATTCAAAAGGTTACTCTTCATAAGAGTTAAGCGACCCCCTTTGGAAATATATTGCTTCTTCTATCCAATAAGCCATTTCTCAAATCGCTCTACCACTGGATCCCAAATGGATGCCCTCCTCGATGAAGCGCCCACGGTATCCCAAATAAGAGATTACCGAGCTATAAACTTATTAAATGCAAAATTCAACCTTCTAATAAAACGGGTGGCACATAGACACCATATGGATTGGAGAAGTTGGAGAGAAATTTATCAAGTGCTCCACACAAACCACCACTCACAACAAGTTTTTTCAATGAATCTAAACCAGGGGATCTTCATTCACATAGGTTCAATTTCCATCATGGCGATTCATTTATAAACAGAATATAAACCTATCACCCTCGATGATTTGATCGAGCCGACACGCTAGTACCAGGGCATTCACTCCATTAAGATTTGATAAATTTTTAAATGCCTACGTCTATTTATTTCTGGATATACTCCTTTATAGTGCACGCATCAACATGCTTCACACTACACAAATATTAAAGGTGTGAGTTAACATAAAGATGAATTTTTCTCCAAAATTAAGCAACTTACTTCATACCAGTTTCATACATTAAATAGTCAATACATATGCCTACTCAAATATGCATGTATGAAACACCAACACATTTTCAGCAACAAGTTTCTAATTTAAGCCAATAAAATGAAACTCCCACATAAATATAATTTAGCCATAGCAATAGTGATATATACAATTGCGAATAGCAATTAAATTTTGCAGTTTAATAAGTCACAACTTTATAATTTCAAAATATAGACATGTGCTTTCACAATCTTATATATCAATAAACCACCACAAACATATAAAATATTCAATTCAAATTGAGACACTTTTTGTCATCTACTTTTGGCGCTGGAGACTCAAAGCAGTTTAAAAGATCTAACATCTTTAGTACAAGAGTAATTGAGTATTAAGTTAACATGACCCCCCCACATTTTAGGCACTTTTCTGGTTCCACTTTTTGTTTTTCCCTAGTTTAGCCAAGAAAGGTGAAAGAGGGTTAAGTAAAGAGATGTTTCTGTCTACATTGGATGAACACCAAACTGCATCTGTAACAAGGTTCTCTATCACACTGTGTTATACATTTTCATCATTTTCATTTTTCTAATAAGTCACTGAGTTATAGTTTATAAATATTAATTTTCAAAGAATTCATTAGTCATTACACATTTCCTCTGTGCTTTCCAACAAAGCATCCTGAAAAGTTCTCTTGTGTTCTCCATACCCAAAATGCAGACTTGATTTTCATTATTCATATCATCTGCATTAAGTGGTATTTTATCCCAGAATCTTATTATCTCCCACTGTTTGAAGTAATTTATTTACTAATTACAAAAAAAGCAAACCCATGACCAAATTTAAAAACCCAAATCATCCTCCTACATAGCATAAAAGAATACCATAACTTAGAAATTAATGTGAAGTCCAAAAATCTCACCTTTACTATCTACATTTCAAATCAACAATGCATAGAACAAATTAAAATCCAGAGCGTAAAATTTGAAAGAAAGGGGTAAAAAATGGGGTACTTGATAAAGAACCAAAAAGCCCTAAGGATTCACCGAATGAAGAAATGAGTACATACCGTATTGGACACAAACATGTGAAGTACACATCAATGCCATTGTTAAGAGCTTGGCTTTGAGATTCACGGGGCATTTCAAACACTAGTATTGAGGTTTGTAGCTTTTACAGAGGGAAATTGCATTCAAAAGATTCGACTCTCTCTAGAACTCAAACAAAGACGAGACCGTACCAAAACACACACTCTCTCTCTCTCTCTCTCTCTCTCGTGTATCTGGAGGTTCAAAAAGGGTTCGGATCGACGAAACGATTCCCCATAAGTGGAGGGCAATGCGCATCCGGAATATGTTAAAAAAGGGTTTTGATTATTGTAAAATGTGCAAATTCTATTTTTCTATCTAAAGATTAATAAGAGGAAAAAAAATCTAAAGATTAATAAGTTTCAATAATCCTATTAAATCTTATTTGTGAAACTTTCTTTCAAGTAAAATTTCAGATCATTCATCTTTTATTTATAACCTTCTTACATTAAAATTAAAATTAAAATTTTTGCAATTATAACTTTTTGTCAAAATGATTATTCTTTAAAATTTTATTATTTTTTCTTTAATTATTCAAAAATATCTTCTTCTTTTTTTCGGAAGGTAAAAATATGTTAAAATTTGTTAGCAACTATTTTTTTTGAATATCACTCTTAACGTTATTTTTGGATATATAAGTACATTAAGTTTGAAAAAATAATCAAAGAAATGCTTGAATTCATTGTTTCTTTACAAATTTAGTCATCTGCATTGCACATAACATTTTTAAGATATAAAATTATGAAAATATCTTTTTCTCTTCCAATAATGCCCTATATACAAGAAGAAAGAAGAAAAAAAGAAAAGAAAAAGAGAACACTTTAGTCATTTCACATTTTATTATTTTTTCACTTTTTTTTTTTATTCAGTTATAGAGGACGCTTTAGTCTCTTCAGTTTTTAGGTCCTTGTTTGCTAAAACTAGGGATTTTTCATAACGTATAGGTGGTTATACGCTCTATTTGCATTTTATAAGGGTGTTTTTTCTTACCTCTCAAAGGGAGGTCAGGAGTTCAAGTCTCAGAAGAGACAAGTGTGTGTGAGTACCAATTAGGAAAAAAAGAAATTTGAAAAAATAAACTTTTTAGAAAAAATGAATACATATATTTAATAAATTGAAAATATATAATTATGCATTACGATGGGCAAAGCCGGAAGTTTGAAAGATTAGAACTAATCTATATTTAATAATAAAAAAGGTTAAAATCATAAAAAGCTCTATATTATTCCAAAACATTACATAACCCCTAAAACTAACAAATAACCCCTCTAACTAATAAAATGATCATTTTACCCCATTATGTGAATGACTTGTTAACTAATATGTGAAATAACAAAATTGACATCTATAGCTAAAATCATAAAACCACCTTATACTATCCAAATCAACCATATAATCCCTTATACTAAGAAAAAAATTCTAAAAACTCCATTACTTTTTAAAGGTTCATTATGGCATCCCCAATCCTTTTGTTTGTCTTTAAATAGTAACGTGACACTAGCATGCGACTGTCATGTGCCAACTTTTAAAATAATATATATCGAGATGCCCTTTTAAACCCTTAATGACTAAGATGTCCTTTTAAACCCCAAATCAAGCCATATTATTCCTCTTCCATTCAGGGACAGAACCAAGAATTTTGATTTGGGGGTGAACTTGTATTATGTAATTAAAAATTTTATGAATAATTGAAATATAATTTTTTATATAATATTAATTTTAGTATGTGTGTGTGTGTATGTGTGTGTGTGTGTATATATATATATATATATATATATATATCTTGAAATAATATAATCCAAAATTGACAAAAGTGCTATCGTGCTCAGATTTTTCTGCCTCAATGTAAGGGGAAAACCTACTCGAGCTTAGCCCCTAGGGTTGGAGGTCAGCTGGCGTGCCTGTCATTTTAATACGACAAGGTTAAGATTTGGATGTGGAGGTGAATGATTGATAGGGCCAAATTTAGATATTTATGGAGTCACCACCTATCATTGAGGCATGATGTGTTAGGTCACCAAAGTTGAAGAATTTGGATTGATTTGTGGGCCCTAAATGACTACAGGTTGGTCTGTTTCACCAAAGGTGGGGTTTAGGGGTTTATTTACGCTTAGGGGAGGTGTTAGGCACTCTAAGACGTCCATACCAAGTACGGTTACCTATTCTTTGTGTTAAATTCCATTTCCATTTAGATGAATGTGCAATGATTGATGATAAGGTACATGTTTGGAAAATTTGCATTTTCATGGTGATGAAGATGGAGGTAATATAGAGAAGAAATGATCATAAAGAGTAGTGATGATGTGACATAAGGTGGTCATGATGGAAGAATGGAGATAGTGATGTGGGACCTAACCGACTTAAGCTTCTCATATTTCCTGTGGTGTAGGAATAAAGTTAGAAAATAGTTCAGAATAAAGTATGAGTTTAAAGACCTCCGTCCATTAGAAAGGGTTAATTGCAGTTGGTTCAAAGAGAAGGATGAATCACAGTGAATTTGGTTTAAGTTTTAGGGACTCCACCCAAAGGAAATGAAAAGGAATGAGTTGTATGTAACTCCAAATGAGTTCAAGGAACTTCATTAATGAAAGAAGTAATTAACCGTTTGTGGTTCAAATTAAGTTTTACGGACTACGCCCTTGAAAGATGAAAGGGAATAAGTTATATATAACTCTGAATGAGCTTAAGGACATTAGTCCACAGAAGAAGAGATGAACCGTATGTGGTTTAAATTGAGTTTTAGGGTCTCCGTCCATGATGATGGATAAAAGATAGACATGGGCATTATATTGCTCATGAATGAGTATTTTAGGGTCTCCACCCGTAAAGGATGGACTAAGGATAGAAAGGAATATTGTTGGACTAAGAGGGGGTGAATTGGTCAATTTTAATTCCTTCTTCTTCACACCAAGATCAATGTTGATAAGCAAATACAATGAACACAAGGTATACAAAGAAAACCCTCTCAATAGGGAAAGAACTTGGTTCTTGGCCTCAGCCAATATAAGCTCCACTAGTTGTAGTAGTTACACAGTCAACTATCTCACACTCTGCACACATCCTTGTACAAGTTGAAACACTAGCTTTCACAACCTCTATACGCACACACTACCTCAACATAATGCTTATAAGCACTCCCCCTACCTTAAGCACCCTTGTTTAGACCTTGCAAGCTCTCACAGCTCACTAAATACATATAAAAGAATGAATACCAACAATAGTTAAGCATATACAAAAGATAAGAGTGGTTGTGCAGCTCAAAACAATAGTTTATAGCCTTGGGAACACCTTTCGTTGAAACTAGGGTTTGAAGGGTAGAATTGGAAATTCGTGTTCCAAAATTTTTTGAGATCAATCTCACAGCCTTATATCACTACTATAAACATGCTAAGATAATAAACAAGATAAGTATAACATGTGAATCACAATACAACATTAATTAAACATTGTCAGCAACTTTACAATGAAAAACTAGGGTTTTGGTAGGTCAAAATGAAAGGTGACCAAAGTTCTGTCAAAAAATCAACTTCAACAGCCTTAATTCATCTAAATAAACTTGCTAGCTTGTAGATTAAACATTGTATAGCAAGATATAATCAATCTATATATAAACCATAAGGCTAAACTAGAAAATAACCCAAATCACAGGTCTGAGAAGTGAAAATTATTTGCAGCATAGTATGGCTCAAGAACAAGTGATCAGTAAATGTAAATAGCTCACATATACCTGTCTCAACCTTGAATTAGCACCACAGCAACCTCAGGCTCAAAGTGAACCTTCAAACCAGCCTTTGCACAAGGAAAACATGACAACAAATGGAGTCCATGATGAACACAACAACAATGATCAATTCAATGACATTTCTATGAAGATTTTAGGTTCAGATTATCATATGAAACTCTTACGATAAGTTCAATAAATGTAATGACCCGGTCATTTTCCTTCCTTTCCTTTTCTCATATTTTCACGGATATTTTTTTTTCCGTTGATCTTTTCCTTTCTTAGTTCGGTTTCTTGCCACTTAATGTCATCTTGAGTGCTCGGGGATGGTTTCCGAGACTCTTTTCCTTGTATTGACAACTTCCTTTGAGGACTGAGTCATTTTCACATTTTCACTTTTGTGACACTATTCACTTTTCGTCTTTTTCTCGGTTGTCACTTTGTTAGCATAACCGCACTTTTCGTGTTCGAATTTGATTCTGGTTTTGCATGCATCCACGATATTTAAATTCCATGCTATGTGTATTTTCACTTTTGTAGAAAAGCATACTAAGTATTTACTTTTCTTGTAAAGGGTATAGATGCATAACCTTTTTGTAATATTCTAAACTTTTGGGGTTTTTGGGTAATTACTGTAAAGTAATTATTTTTTGTCTTAGGGACCATTTTGCAATTTAATTTGGAAGATATTTTCAAAAAGGACCTTTTTGAAATTTTCGAAAAGTGTGACAAGTGTCACACTCTCATTGGTCCACTTGTTGACATTTGTGTAGAAACACTTTGATGCCTTGGATGATAACATGTGGAGGGTGGAGATTCACCCACATGTTGGCCTAGGATTGGTGTACTTGTTGGCTTGAATGGTTGACAAGTGTAGGCTTGAGATTAAGCTTAGGATGGAGCCTTAGATTTGTGACAAGTGTATGCTCCAAATTAAGTCTTGCAATTGTTTTTAGGCCACTTAGGGATTATGGTTTTAAAGAAGGGTTTTTGTGCAATTGACCATAGATGTGTGTGTTGACCATGGCGTAAGAACACATAGTGAGTGGAGGATTTCTATTTCCTCCACTCACACAGTTTCACATTATGTCATTTCCTTCCTCATTAGAACCCTAGCCTCTATGGATGGAGTTTGAAACCTTTGGCCTTGACCTTGATTTTTAATGGCCTTCCACTCACCTTAGACCATGAAGCTTGGAACACTTTTTGTTCCCCTCATCCTCCTCTACATAACCCTTGAAGGGTTTGCCATTTTGTGTTGATTTGCCTTGGATTCTAGAGAGACTCTTCTCTAGTGAGGTAGGGGATGTTATAAGGTTGTTTCTTGCATGCTATTGATGCTTATATAAGTTGTATGCATGTCTTTTGCTAATTTGAGAAATTAGTGATTTCTCATATCTTGCATATAAATCACTTTAGACTTGGTAAATGGCATGGCCATGAGTTGATCTTTAATATATATTAATTTGGTATGATTTAGATGAGTTTTCAAATCTAAAGATTAAATGGATTTAATTTGATTTAAATTCTAGTAAATTGTATTTTACTTCT